ATCCGTACTGAGTGCTGTGGGGCATGTAGTGATCTTCATATCGGCGAGCATCGTCGTACATGGGTCGGTTTCTTCCGTACTGGTGCTGAGTCATCTGGCTCATGTACGAAGCATAGTGAGGGTTGGAGTAGTAAGGGTATCCGTAGCCGTAGGCATGAGCGGCACCTTGACCAGGCATGTGCTGCGCGGTTGGGGTTTGAGTAGCGGCGGAGAGGGTGGGGTTGGGAGTGTTGTGACCGCTGCTGGGAGCATCAACATGGCCGTAGCGGCTGGGAGGCTGAGTGGTGGGAACTTGGGGCTGCACCTCGGCGCCGGAGACACCGAAACCAGCCGCCGCCCTTTGAGCCACAGAGGCATCCTGGGACTGGCCATAGGTGCCATAGTAGTTGTAAGGGAGGCGCTGGTCGACGGCGTAGAAAGGAGAGTACTCGCTGCCGGAGGTGACGGTGGGCTGGACGGGGGCCTGGTTTGCGAATGGCTCCTGCACTTGGGGTTGAGGCTGGGTGACCTGCTGAGAGAACGGGTCGTAAGGCTTCTGAGCCTCGGTGTAGCGGGCGAAATCGGTGAAAGATGAATCGGCAGCGGAAACTTGTGGGACAGGAGGAAGTCCGGGAGCCGGACGGGAAACAGTAGGAGTCTCGGTGGAGGGCTGGGCCTGAGTGGAAGGAGGTAGAGAGGCACGAGGGGCGACGGGAGAGTGTTGAGGGGGCTGAGCACGGGTTTCAGCGTCTTCTCTGTTCTCGTCAATATCGACATCGGCAGCATCGCCGTTCAGTCCCATGCTGCCAAACTGCACTGCCGCACGATCAACGGCGTGGTTTCCAGGCATGACTACAGCTTCTTGCTGTTCCATGACACGACGCTGAGTTCCGGGGGCCCGAGCGCCGGACTTGAATACGCTGGAAGGGAAGGCAGCTTGAGCAGCTTGACGAGCGGGGGTGGAGACAGCGGCGACGCTGTGGGCATCAAGGTTGCTGCCCACTGTGCTAGCCGCAGTGGCTGTGGGAGCGGGAGGAGAAACATCGGGGATTTGTTCAAGGTTTGTCTTGGTCAGACCATCCTTGGGAGGAGTGATGTCGGCTGTGGAAGGAGTTACCGGGACAGCTTCAGCAGGCTGCTTAGGAATGACAGGTTCAGGTCCTTTCTCGACAGGAATAGGAACAGGAACAGGAACCGGGACAGGAGCGGGGGCGGTAGCAGCAGCGGGAGCAGGAGCAGGAGCGGACACGGGGACAGGTTCGGGTGCTTTCTGCTCCGCTGCTGGCTCAAGGGCTGGCTGTTGTTCTTCGGCGTGGACCGGAGCTGGGACAGGCGCAGGCGCAGGTGTAGGTGCGACTGCGGGTTTCTTTTGCGGAAGCGGCGCAGGCTTTGCGAACAAGCTCGCCCAACCTTTCTTGGTGCCATCCGGCATCACGTTGGCCTTCGGGGCCTCTTTGACAGCGTCGGTGGTCGTGTCGGCGTCGACAGTGGTGGTTTCGACCTCGATCGATTTCTCGGGGACGATCGTTGTCTCCACAATGTCCACGGTGGCAGTGACAACGGGCTTCTCGGCGCGTGCACCATTAGCACTGACAGCCCCAGCCCGACCGCCGCGGCCACCACGACCACGATCCCCACGGGCGCGTCCACGACCCTCGAATCCGCCACGTCCACGGCCTGAGCGAACGGAACCCGTAGTTGCCTCGGTCGGGGTGCTCTGTGCCTCCTTGGCCTTGGAGCGGTTCCGGTCGGTTGTCTTCTTCTTCACCTCACCCCACTGTGAGACGTTGCCTGTCGAGATAGAACGATCAAAGGGTTAGAGCCGATTCCAGTGAACAGCAGATATAGAGACATGAGATACAAATCGGGGGATTGGAGATCATACCTTCAGTAATGCGCTCAATGGCATCCTCGAGCAAGCCGTCGGCATCTTCCAAAGCAAAGACAAGATCCTCATCGGTCCAGTCAGGGAACAATTCCTTCAGTGTGGGCAGATCGTTCGAGTATTTCTTCTTCATCTGACCAATCTCTCCTTCATCTTCAAACGTAGTCTGGTCTGAGGTGTCTGCTTTGGCCGATCTGCTGCCTCCGCGACCACCTCTGGAGCTATAGCCACCTCGACCACCACGAGCGGATACTCTGCCTCGAGAGGCAGAAGGCCGTGTTTGAACTTCAGACATGTCTTCTGGTAATGTTGATGAATCTCCAAAGCGGGAGCGATTAAATAATAGAGAAGGAGATTGAAGGAATTTCCGACGTCGACGGTGGGGACGACAAAGTGTGGCTGAACTGAGCGGGTAAAAAAGAGGTCGTTGGTAGTTGCACCCTCACGAGAGGACAGCACCAAAACCACGGGCACAAGGGCCGCCGAATCCGGGGAGACTGGGGGGGCGAAAAGGAAAAAAAGGAGCCAAAGGTGGGAGGAGGGGGATAGCTGATAAAAAAAGAAAAAAGAATAATAAGAAAAAAGGGAAGTTATTATAGACTTGTGGAGGAGAGGAAGCAGTAGAGAAGTAGTGGGAAGAAGGGAGGAAGAGATTAATTATTGGGGGACTGGATCAAGATCGAAATGGCAGGGAACGAGACTTTCTGCTACTAGTACTAAGGTAGAAGGTTTGGGCCGGCGTGTCTGAGCCTGGCTGAAGGAGACAAGACTGCTTCTGAGCCTGAGGCAACTATCTACCTAAGTTTACCTAGCGAGTACCGTACCTATGAGGCTCTGTGGCTGGGCTGAGTACTATGGTAGATGTTAAGGTACTCCGGAAATGAATACAGCTATTCTATCTCTGTTGGATATCACTGTCTGGCTGATTGCATACTAATCAATTGAGCTATCGACCATTAAACTACAACTTAAAAACACTCCTTGATCTCCATTGTGGACAGCTTCGCCTCTCTAACCCTTTCCTTCTGTTGTGTGGTCTGCTTTGGGTTGGGTATCAGGAGACCATCCTTTTATTCGCTGATTCCACTCACCGCCCGTTTTTGCCTTCGCTCAGGTGATGTTCGCTGCCTGAGGATCGGATGTTCCTTGGATGATCTGTTTGGAGTGCTGAGAGGGGAGACTCAGGTTGAGCCAGAAGATATTCCACTCGCAATACATCTTGTCCATCAACCCCAGGCAGCAGAGTCACCATGAAGGGGTCATCATTGTTCAAATTCAGCCCTTTCGCAAAAATCCATCAACCTCTTCCTCGTACGCCAAGAGAATCAGCGCAATTACTGAACGCCCTTACGTCCTCCTTCCGTCGTCAGCTTGATCGAGAATACCCATCATCATCATCTTCTGCCAATCACGATGAGAACGGCGACAATCCGTTATCCTCTGTTCATGCGACCGACAAACATCTGAGGACCATTCTGGAGAATCCTCTTTTCCGCGTCATTCCCTCAAACACAGCTAGCCCTGGCCACCAATCTGGTCTCGGACCGCTTCAGGAGCAGAAACTGGCGACTGAGCCTATGACTGTCTTCGATGAGTTGGTTGCCTCGGGTTCTGTCAATAAAACCGCTCTGTTCAATTGTTTGAGGGCCCAGCTAGTACTTGCGAGCGCTCATACCGGCGATGGAGTTGTAGATGCGATGAAGAAGTCTAAGGCCGGTTCCAAAATCGTGTCCTGGTGGTTTGCATCCGACGCCGAATCTCGGAAAATGCTATTCACAATACGATCTTCGACCGTCACCCTCCTCAAATTCATGGTCGCCGAGGGGCTACAGAAAACGGCGATAATCTGGCTGGGAATGCTATTGAACCGTGACCTGGGCGGTGCTGACGGTCGCATACCGGAGGCCATGGCCCAAACCGTGGCTCGCAATTTCCTGCTCGACCTCTTGAAAGCCGAGATTCAGTACGGAGAGGGTTTGGTCTCGGCCATGAGATATTATCTGGAGGCGAGCAGGCTGCCAATCTCTACAGATTACGAACTTGGCGCTGTTCAATACAAGAAAGCCCTGCTAATGCCTGCAGCCGGGTTTTTGTGCCGCGCAGCTATGGAGGAAGAGCAATCCCAGCTCAAGCAGATGCCTCTCGAGATGTACGATGAGTATGTGAGGATTATCGCTTCATGGTCTCTCAAGTCGTTACTACTAGCTTGTGTGCCTCTTTTCCACCCAACCCGACCTGACGCCACACGCTTTGTGCAATTTACAGAGAGGATATCACGAGTCCGGCTCAGAACATGGCCCAAGACGAAAAAGGAGAACTTCGTACTCTATGCCATTACCGCCATTCGTATCTTAGTCGATCAGCAAAAATTCGCGGAGGCTTCATACTTGGCACGCTTCATTCAGGAGAATCTACCAGAAAAGATTGGCCAGGAGTCGGCATCCAGCACGTTTGATCAGGTCTCGGCAGAGGAGGAGAATCTATCCAACCTACTGGGTCTGGCATGATTTGAATTGGCTCGCGTGCTGACCATGTCGAATCACAAACACAAACACACCAGATGTAGTCCATTGGGTTCTGGCTAACTCGGCCCATCGGAATGCCGTCTTCTCAGCATCGTCCATCGACGTCATGGATTTTGACGATGACGGACGCACTTCACGCGAGGAAGCGCCCATCTCATCCCATCTCCGCAATGGTGCTCCACTCTGCCGCACTAATGGCACCCTACTCCTCTTCTTGGCATGCTTACCTACAACGAAGAACATCAGAAGAGCCGGACTACACCAGGGCTGACGGCCAGGCCCTCGTGCTGAGCCCGGAATTGAGTTCTGGAGTTGCGTTACTAAATCTAGCATCCGCTAGCATGTTGGAGGCAAATAGAACAAATAGTCAAGAAAAGGCTAGCGTTCTCGAAGATCTTAGTCAACGTCACACACGCAGTCTCCTCTCCATTTCTTTCACATTCTGTCATCCTTGACCTCTCGTCATCGGTGATACACGGTTCAAGAATCATCTTATCCTAGCGATCTCAGCCATAGTGATAATCAAGTCGCTATTTTTTGCGACAATTTTATCGTCCCCATTGTCCATTCATGGATGAAGCACATATAAGTACACATTAGCAATCACAGCCATGGCCACGGAAAACGACTCTGGCGTTGTAAACAGTCACTCCAAGCAAGGTATGTCCAGGAGACAGGGCGCTGTCTGGCCACCTGAGTTAACCATCATCGCCGTATAATGGTCCCTAAGCGTTCAACAGAACGATCAGACGCTAACGAATATCGCCAGAGCCTACAACTCAGACCGAAGCAGAAGTCAACAAAAAATCGCTGAAGGATACTGCTAGAGAGACCAACGGTGACAGCCATCCGCTGGAGAAGGACCAAGCGCTACCTGCAGAGTCCGTCCACAATCCAGACCAGAGTAGCTCGGAAGAAACCGAGTTTGCTGGAGACTCCAAGACCGTTGATACTTCAACTTCTCCAGAACAAGCCCTCGCCGGGCCCGTGACTGACGCTCAACAACCATCTACAGCCAACACAGCGCAAGCAGGAGACAAACAAGAGCACAACCCGTCTTCGGCACCGGCCAATCATGACAAAGCTGTCCTTGGAGAATCTACGGAACCTGCACGCAAGAAGCAGAAAACTAGCGAAGAGAATGGTGTGGTCGAAAACGGTCAACCAGCTTCCTCAGCAACCGGTAACGCGACCTCGAATGCCACTCGGAACGGGGAGAAAAAGTCAGGGCGCTCTAAGAAAGTGAAAGACACAGTGAAGCATATAGTTCCTAAAGATGGTATCGGGAGTCGGACACGCAGTCGGACCAAGGCTGCGACTTGAGCTGCACTTCTTTGATTTCCGGACCTTATGTCAACCGATTGTTGTGCTTTGTTGATCGCTGTTGACCTTCATAGCCCAATACGATGTCTGCTATAAGACACCTCTCTTTCAATTTTTCTTTAGCAACCTTAGCAATGATAATGCAAATTAGTGCTCTTGCATATTCGTAGTAAGCGTAGATAGTTGATTTCGACGTCTATGAGTATACCTATATATTTTGTCCGAGGAAATGATCGATACTTCAACCTCATGTGTCAATCCTGATGAGGAATATTTTGACAAATGAACAAAGTTGCCCAGAGCAGACCATTATCATCGACGAAGCAATCGCCAAGCCCTGTCAATATCTCAGTTGTATATCAATGAATTCTCGAGGAGAGCCGACATCGGTTGAAGCGTACCTCAACCCATCGCTGAGTCACACCACGGAACGGATCAACATCCTTGTCTCCCCGTTATCACTGAGGGGATGGTCTGTGTCATAGGCCCAGGAGTCATCGTTCTAATTTCACTTTTCATATTTTGAAATCTCCAATTCTCTTTCTCAAGAAAGATCAATTTCTCTTCGAGCAATCATCAATTGAAATACACAGCCATGTCGAGCAATAAGATCTGGCTGCGCGCTGAAACCAAGCCCGCCGAGGCGCGGTCTGCTTGTGAGTTCTACCTGTTCTTATGAAAAATGTCGTGTTCATCATGGCATTTTCAGTCCGTAAATCTTCGAATTACATGTGCTGATTGTATGAAATGAAGTGACCCCGACTACCTGCAAGGCCCTTATGGATGCCGGCTTCCAGGTGACCGTGGAGCGTTCCACACAGCGGATTTTCGACGGTGAGAATAATGTCCCCCTGATTCCTTCCCAGGCCACAATCGCTAATAGAACGGGCTTTGTGACAGATGAGGAGTTTGAGCAGGTAATTTTTGACATTCGCACACGACCCCCTGCTTCGAACGACATTCTCACGCACCAGTTGTACAGATCGGCGCCCCCCTTGTCGCGGAAGGTTCATGGGTGAAGGACGCACCCAAGGATGCCTATGTACTGGGTCTGAAGGAGCTTCCCGAAGACGATTTCCCCCTCGAGCACGTTCACATCTCCTTTGCACACTGCTACAAGCAACAGGCTGGCTGGGAGAAGGTTCTCAGCCGGTGGCCCCGCGGAGGCGGCACCCTCTTGGACCTGGAGTTCCTCACAGATGATGCTGGACGCCGAGTAGCCGGTAGGTGGCGACTGTTTCTGCTCTGGAAGAATGAAATCAGTGACTCACTTTCATCTACAGCTTTTGGATACTCCGCCGGTTATGCAGGTAAATAATTTCGGTTTGCTGTGCGTCGCATATGGGGGAATACTAACGCTATGTACAGGTTCTGCTTTGGCCGTTAAGAACTGGGCCTGGCAACTGACGCACCCCGAGGGCGAAGCCCTCCCTGGCGAGACTCCCTACGCAAACCAGGACCTATTGATTGAGTCTGTGAAGGAATCGTTGGAGGCTGGCAAGAAGCAGTCTGGCAAGTCGCCCAAGGTGCTTGTCATTGGAGCTGTGGGTGTGCTTCCGATGAGCTGAGGTCTTCTCATTGTACTGACCAAGTGTAGCTTGGACGCTGTGGCAAGGGAGCCGTTCAGCTGGCCAAGGATGTCGGCATTCCCGAGTCCGATATCATCCAGTGGGATATTGAAGAGACCAAGAAGGGTATGTTTACATTCTCGACTGCAGCCATTGTGCCTGAGCTAATCTAGTTTCCCAGGTGGTCCCTTCAAGGAGATTGTCGAGGATGCAGACATTTTCATTAACTGCATCTACCTTTCCGCCAAGATCCCTCCTTTCGTCAACACCGAAACTCTCTCTTCTCCTAATCGCCGCTTGTCCGTCATTTGTGACGTGAGCGCCGACACGTATGTTACTCCTTAGACTCTTGAGGATGAAGGACGTTTTCGCTAACAGTCTGGTCTTGTCTTGCCCAGAACCAACCCCAACAACCCTATCCCTGTCTATTCCATCACCACCACTTTTGACAAGCCCACAGTGACTGTTCCTCTACCCGCCGAGACCCAGGGCCCTCCATTGAGCGTGATCAGCATCGACCACCTCCCCTCCCTCCTGCCTCGCGAAAGCTCCGAGATGTTCAGCGAAGCCTTGCTGCCCAGCCTGCTGCAACTCAAGGACAGACAGAATGCTCGTGTCTGGAAGCAAGCAGAGGACTTGTTCAACGAGAAGGTTGCTACGTTGCCCGAGTCGATACGTGCTTAAGTTTGTTTTCTCTAGACGGCCTTCCGCACCTGTAAGTTAATGCAAAGGCCTGCCACATTATGAATCTGGACGCCCTCCCTATCTATGGGTTGATCTCTTGGGAGAAGCGATGTTTTGTATATGCAGTAGTGTGTCATGAATCTCTGTTTAGAATGGCTACTACAATAGAGTGAATCAATGAAAAGTTCTTGTTGAGACAAATCGTCTTGTGTTCAAGCGATCGGAGAATTGAGTCTTTTATACGCAGTCAGTCAAATGATGAAGGAAAGTCAAGTCGCTCTAAGCTGATGAAATTCATGCTCTATCATCAAATAAAAATACCCGAATACATCGATAATGGTGAAGGCTTTTAATCTGCTTTATTTGCGCCTTTTGTTCCAAGGTCACGTTTCGATCATGCCATGTCTGTGAGGCCTAGATCCAGCCACTATCAAAAGGGACTACATCGTAACATCACCAACCCAACTACCCTCAAGTACCAAATTTCACCCTTCAAACTTCTCGAGTCTGGGTTGATGGAGTCTAAAAACTGGACAATGCTGGACTCAGCCGTTTGAGCCCATAAGAATTGCGTATGGGATCATCAGCTCTATTGACGATGATCTCCTTACCATCTGCTCAGAGACACCATGGTCCTGCAGATCTCGCTGTGGATCACCATCCAACTGACCTCGATGATCTCATATTGGTCCTCGAACTCCTGGAGCACTGGCAGATATGGTATCCTTGAACATGTTCCCATTTTGTAGCCTTCTGGCGGACCAAGGATCTCCAATGTGGGGGTTTCAGGCGCTGTTGACGGTCGCTTGGCGTGGCAGATTCTCCGGACGGACTCGGGAGTGAAGAGCGAAGAGCGAAGACGCCGAAGAGGGATCAGATTCCAGCATTCCCTTGGATATTTTGTTGCCTGGATGTTCATTCATGCAAGTGGCTCTGCCATGATTATCATTTGACTGTCTCGACGACGGGAATGATTATTTGACCAGGTTATGAGCATGCGTGAGTAGTGCCCTTTCTCGCCTTCAACCCCATTATTCAGATCCCTCTCCACAATCCACATCCTCGGGTGCTACGCTGTGTATGGGGAAAAACTTATCTGACGGACAATTATCCGCCCATAGCCGCCACCCAGAAACTGTGAATATCATCATTCAACAGAGAAATTGAACTACAGGAGTTGAAGAAGACTCATCGACATTCTTGTCCTGTTGTCAGGTTCGCCATTGGCCTTCGGAGTGACTCGCCTCCCAGTCACATCCGAACCTCCCCTCCCCCACGCGCCGCCCATGGAGCAATGATCCTGGCGACGTCCGTGTATTCGAAAGACACCCTCAAACCCTACCACCGAGAGAAGGCTCTTGTCGCTCAGCGACAACGCGGTCATGCAGGAAAAGTCGACGAGCATCGCCGCATACGCAGCCGGAGCATCCCTCGCCGCCGTGGCCCTCTTCTACGTCTTCGGACCAAATTACACAATCGACGGCGATGACTCGAACGACAGTAACAGGAAGAAAAGCATTGTCGGGCTGTCCAATCCGGCGAACGACTGCTTCATCAACTCGGTTCTACAGGCGCTCGCGGGACTGGGCGATCTGCGTGTCTACCTGATCAGGGAATTACATCGGCGTGAACTGGATGGACCGGACACATATAACTCACTGCCGGAGGCAGATGAGACGCCGCGCGGGATGAGACCCGAGAGGGTCCGAGAACTGCAGCAGGGTACGATCACACGGGCTCTGAAAGAGATGCTGGACCGATTGAATGAGCGTCCGATCTACAAGAAGACCATCACCAACCGGGCTTTCATCCAGGCAGTCGAGTACGCATTCCGCACTCGGATTAGCCGCAATCAGCAGGATGCGCAGGAATTTCTTCAGATCGTTGCGGAGCGTCTTTGCGACGAGTACCATGCCGGACTGAAGGCGCGACAGCGTGCACAAGGTCTTCTTGAAGTGCCACCAGGCTCGGGCAGTGGGGAATCTGTACAAAGTAAGGCTGTCGAAAAGGGATCCACTGAAATCGAAGTGCGTATCGACGATGGATCTGAGGTTGGCCTCCCGGCAATCATCGACACCAAATTGAAAGAGATCGACAATGAATACGGATTTCCATTTGAAGGACAAATGGAATCGCAGATTGAATGCCAGTTCTGCCATTATCAATACAAGCCGAACAAGACATCATTCGTGAATCTGACGCTACAAGTTCCTCAGAAGAGCTCGACCACCCTCAGTTCCTGCTTTGATGGATTGCTCAAAACAGAATATATCGATGACTTCCGGTGCGACAGATGCCGATTGCAACATGCCCTGGATGCCAAGACGGTAGAACTGAGCAAATCTCATTCCACAAGAGATCGGGAGCGTATCGAGCAAGAGATGCAGCAGATTCAGCATGCTATCGTTACAGATCCTGAGAATCCTCCCGAAGGGATCAGCCTTCCTCCAGCGGATCTCGCACCGAAGCGAAAGATTGCTCGCCATATGCGTATCACCGTTTTCCCCAAAATTATAGCAATCCACCTTTCGCGTTCTATCTTTGATCGCAGTAGTTCTACGAAAAATGCCGCCAAAGTGTCCTTCCCTGAGAGGCTTCCTTTGGGTGGGATCTTGAGCCAGAAGTGGTTCAAGCTGCTGGCCATTGTCTGCCACAAAGGCAGTCATAACAGCGGCCACTACGAATCCTTCCGACGTAACAACCTATACCCACCTTTCGCTACGCCGGATGTCTTTAGTTCCTACGCGC